TATATAAAATTGTGGGCTGCATATCGCATCCATTAATTATGCTTGTAAATCTGTTTATGTGCATGAAGACTTGCACTGTTATGAAAATAAAATTATACTTTCAAATCATCGACCACATCTACAAGTTTTTGGTTTATGAATCCATGTACCATGCCAAATTATATTACAAGGAGTATTTTTTTCCAACTTATTTTATTACACACACACACATATATATAATATACACATATTTTATTATGTACACATATTTTATTACACACACACACACATATATATATGCACAATATTTGTTTTAGATCAATTTGTTTTCTAAATTTCAATGTAGATAATGTAAAGCTCTATGGTTTTTTTAATTGTCATTTTGGCACTATGTAATGTTTTATTCTTTTTTCCCAAGAGTTTCGAAAATGTGTAGGGAAAATTCTGGTACATTTGAGGAATTTTAAAGTCTTTAATAAAAATTTTATGAAATCTTTTTATGGTTTTTGATCTCAAATGGACCAGGAGAGCGAAACATATTTTCAAAGCATATAAATCAACTTTTGTGAAGCTTTTATTCATTTTCCCCTGGTGATTTCTTAATTGGAGTTTAAATAAAAGGACATTAATTTTTATTTGTATAATTTTGTATATTTTTGTTTTTTGAGATTGTTTTGCTATGAATTCTCTCTTCTTGATATTGTGTTAAACTTCTTATACACAGTTGCAATTATTATATTATAGAGGAACTGCCTTTCTTTTATTCCAATTTACTAATTAATTTAGATGCTTTATTTTTATATATATACATGTATATATGTAAGATAAAAATATATGAAGAAATTTCTAATTTTAATTGGCAATAGTCCCTTTATACTCTTTATTTTAATGTGGACATTTTCCCTTTTTGTCCTAAAAATAATAATTGTTTATAATAAAGGAATCTAAAATGCATCATTTAAAAATTAATCTGTTTCATGCCATCTTACATAACACAGCAATGCAGATATCTTTTCTCCAATCAGATAACTAATTTCAGTTGAAATCAAAACTTTTTTACTCTATATCTCGCTCTTCTTCTGTTTTGCTTGTTGTGTGCTAAGATGCTGTCACTTACCTCACTTTCTCTATCGTCCATTGTGTGTTTAAAGATGGAAATGTCAAAGAATGCTATAAAGATTAGGGTTGATGTCCAAAATTCTTTTCTGTGCACCTCTATGTTGTTGACAACAGTATAGAGTTTCAACTGGCAATGCTACATATCTTTCAAAAGTTTGCAAAAACTGCAGTTCATGCACAAGATCTATACTAGTTATATCGCTTTCATTTTTATTAGTTAATGCTTTTTGCAGTTTTTGGCATACGTTGAGCTGATCTTGTACTATATATAAACAAAACTTAGCCTTGCGTGGTTTCAGTAACAAATAATTCGAAATAAATAATGATTTTTTGAAAGTGCATAGAAATGATCGCAAAATTTGCACCTATCATGTCTGTACATTAATGAAACTCAAAACAATATGCCTCATTAACTTGGAGATAAAATTCAAAATTAAACAATTAGCATATTATCTATATGTGATAGCATAAAACAAATTATTTTAAATAAGATCAGGCAAAGTATTTTTCCATTTTACTTGATTGTACCACTGATGCCAGCCATCAAGAGCAGATATCAGGTTCTATATCTTAATTTAGAAACTACAGGCATGATTATTGAAGAAACGTTTTTAGTATTTTGTCTTGCAACAGATAAGACAGGTGAAGGGCTAACAACATTTTTATTAAAGACTTGAGAGAAAAATAGTTTAGACATTAGTAATTTACACAGGCAAGGATATGACAAAGGTTCAAAAATGAGAGGTAAACATTTTTGAGTAATTATGCTCAAATCGTTGTTTATATGAATTAAAAATTTAACATAATATGTAACTGTGCTTACCTTTTGTTATGTAAAATAACAATAACAACAAGCAATGAGCAAAAGAAAATCACAAAAAAGATAAATGTTGCACAAATTGCTACGATTGTAACAGTATACACAAAATAAGAATTAAGCAATTTATTGAACACGTCTATGGTGCTGGCATCTACCCTTACATACACATCAACATCCCGTATTTTCACATCCATTAAGACATAAGAGAACACCAGAGACAAACTTCTGCCCTGGTTATAACCTTTCGTTCAAATAAGACAGTGCGCTAGTAGGAAGGGGCACCCAGACCTGGCAAGCTCAAGGCTGCCTTAACGCAGTTAAATGCTCAACCTCTAAAAGAGAACTAAGTGCCACTAACCCGTCGATTCAGCCGACGAATCAAGACTAAGCCGAGTTGACAAGAATACTCAGCAGCTGAGATTCCACGTCCTCATTCTGGAGGGAAGGTAAAAACATCTGCCATTAACAAGGGTCCCAACCTCGGACAGCAGAACAAAGTCACTTAAACACTATCAGACAGACCGGGCCACCAGTCTGACCTATTAACCCTACGTCATTGTAAACAGACATTGGTTTCAAGCGGGAACCAAGGGAGGATGTAAATATGCAGTTTTGAGGCTACAGGCACCCCCTGAAAACCTCAAGCAGTCTAAAGGCTTGCTGAACTCGCTGATTCTACCGACGGGTGTGTTTCTTCCTGGACAACCATGGCTATCTGACTGTATAGCTCCACCACAAACAACGTGAGCCCTGTGTGGTCTTGCATTGTCGTCCTGTAACAGGAAAGCATCACCTATTGCCCTGGCATATGGGTGCATATAAACATCAAGGATGTCATCTCTATAAATCTGAGTATTCATGGTTCCCCTTGGAAAGACATGGAGGTCTGTGCGTCCACCCAAAGAGATGCCACCCCAAACACAGACACTTCCCCTTCCGTATGCATCTCTTTCAGGGATGTTTGACGTATGATAACGGGTCCTAGGTTCTCCCCATATCAAATCATCCAGTCGACATGTTGTCATGCCCACTGAATATGGTCCCTCCTATGGCATAACGTGAATGGCACACAAATGGCTGGTCGCCTCGCATACAGACCACCTTCGTGAAGCCTTCTACGAACAGTTTACTTTGACATGAACCTTCCGGTGGCTGCAGCAAGGGAGGATCTAAGAAGAGTCAGAGTAGCGGTTCTATTCCTGCGTGCACATGATGTCAAATATCGGTCATCGACGCTTGTCGTAACAGTTGACCATCCTTGGCTGAACCTCCTAGATGCCGAATCTGTGGTTTGAAATTGCCTCCAAAGTCTATGAACCACAGATGGACTCACATTTAGCCATCTGGCCACTTCTGTTTGACTTTGTCCTGCCTCTAGTCTCCCAATGGCTTTCCATCGCAGTTGCAGGCAAATGATGCCTGGAGGTCATTGTTACGAACTGGCTATCTCAGATTTTTTATGTCAGTGTGACGGTGAAATATGCGGGCTTGCTCTCAAACATGGACTTTTATGCTCCTCGCAGATGACATTCCAAAAGCATCGCCACTAATTTGCATATCGCAGTTTTACTCAGCTACTCTTACTTGGCAACATATTCAAATTTTACACAGTTTGGCTTATTTTTGAGGGAGTTATCGCTATTTTTGTGATTTTTCCTTAATTTATGATAACCAGTGTAAATAAAATAGGATTTTGATGATTTGTTGAAATGTAATAATAGTTCACAGTTGATAAATAGTTTATAATTCATAAATAGTTCACTATTCATAATTCATAAGTCTGTTAAAGTTTATTTATCTGTTGAAGTTAATAGTTAGTCTGACGTAAGTTCCGATAAAGCTTTGATAAATTTTATAGTTAGACTGAAGTAAGTTTCATATTTGTTGATTGTAGTTGTGCTGCCTTGAAGTGATGCTAATTATGTCAAAATAATGCTAATGTGGAATTGTGGTGCCTTAATTTATGCTGCCTTTAGATTATCACAATTTTCTATGAAATATTCCATTAAATTGTGAAGTTTTTTGTGGAGAGATTTACTTTTGAGTAGTTGTTTAAACTATCCTCGGACATTTTCACTTGTGATAGGACGAAAGTGGATGTCTTTAGTGATTGCTCATTTAAACAGGTAATGATCTATTGTTCCTATTGATCCACATATGCAGTCGTCTGTATGATACAAGCCAAAACGGAAAAGATATGAAATGAAGAGTCGATGTGCTGTTAGAAGATATGTTATTGCATTATTTCTTGTAACTAAATTTCATGTTGGTTTTGGTAGAAACACAAAAGTTCGTCTGCCTGTATTATCTTGTGACCACATGAGTTTCCATAGTAAAATCAAGTCTTGTTCAAGTCTTGATTTTAAAAGTGATAAAGGATTTGGCAAATAGGTTATTGCTGTTATAGTACTATTTGCTGCTTCTTTTGCCAAGCTGTCTGCCATTTCGTTGCCCAATGTTCCTACATGGGCACGTGTCCAGTGTAGTTTAGGTTTTTGTCCAGTTGGAAAATATACAAGTAAATATTGTATATCTCGAACCAAAGGAGAGCGACTATGACCAGCTATTGCTTGAATACTTGAGGCACTGTCTGAAATTATAACACTGGTTATTGGGAATTGCTTTGCATATGTTATTGCTTCTCTTATAGCCAATAGTTCTGCTTGAAATACTGAATTTGTATGATTCAATTTTGTTTTCCAAGTTTGTATAAGATTATTATTTCTGAAAACACAATAAGCACTTCCTACGCCTAACTCTGTTTTTGATCCATCTGTAAAAATTTGAATTTGAAAATGATTTATGTTTGAATTTACTATTGGATTTTCTGAATATAATTGATTTGGATGTAAGTTTATACAGTACAAAGTCTTTAATCCGGATCGCAAAGCTACATACTTTCTGTGAATGCGTAAACGCATAATACGTTTATGTATGCGCATAATACATTCACGCATGCTTGTTTAATGTATAACGGATGGTATAAGCTAGGGTAAAATTATCTAATTATCTATTTCAGTTAATGTTGCAGATTACGTTGTTCCTTAATCTTCTAATTGGATCCGGGTTATTATTTTTGCAGACTGTTGGAGCAATTTTATAAAAAGTAAGCTTGAACATTCGATTATGTCAAAAAGAGTTTCCGATTCTGGAGCTGCTAAAGGATCTACAAAGCAAAAGCATGTTTCGATATCCATCAAACAAAAAGTGGAATTGCTGCAAAAAATGGATAAAGGCATGAAGAAAGTGACAGAGAGGTTAGTGAAAACAAAAAAATTTTGATTGACAAGTTAGTCATTATTCTCGGCACAGCAATTACAGGACTTGAACAGTGGAAATTTGTAACTGAACAAGAAATTATGTCTGTTTATAGAATTAAAGAGAAAGTATTAGCCCATAAAACAAAGCAACTTACATTGAAAGAAATGTTTAATAAAGTAAACAAATAAATATTAAGCTTTTTTTTTTTTTTTTGTAAATTTTGATACCCTTTAGATCATAATTGCCTTTATTTCATAAATTACGGTTTCATATTTTTAATTTTATAATTTCTGCATGCCATCTTACCAGATTTAAATTGATGATCTATAATCCAGAAAAACTCCTAAAAGGAATCGCTGAAGTCCCGACGAGTCCTGATTAAAGACTGTGTACTGTATTTTGCTTGAGTTCTTCATATTCTGTTGGATGATAGATATTAGAATTATACTTATTAGTACTTGTTTGCCTTAGGCGTGCAACTTTTGTTTTAACAGCTTCTTTCTGTAAAGTCAGAGTAACTGGTGGAATACCTGAAATAATTTGTAGAGAACTGGTAGGTGTTGTTTTTTATGCTGTTGATATTGATAGCAGAAAAAGCCGTTGCATTGAAGTTTGTCTTTTTGCATGTTGATTTAGATCTGTGCCCCAAGCAGAAACGCCATGTAGAAGAATCTTTTCTATTACTGTTGTATACCAAATTTTCTGATATTGAGAAGAAATTTCCCTGTTTCTTGCTGTGGTTATTTTTATTGAGTTTGATAATATTAGAAGTTTATTTTTGATATATTTGATATGTTGATGCCATGAAAGTCTATTATCAAGCATGATACCTAGGTATAGTAGTGAATTTACTGTTGCTATTTTATCTTGTACTATTTTGATAATTGGGTTTCGAAGGTTCCTTATCTTGGTGCCCTGTTTTGGTATATAAAGAGCTTTACTTTTGAGAATTGATATTTTTAAGTGAAATTTATTTGCCCATTTTTTAAAGATTTGTGGGTATTGTTTGAAGTTGTCTTCTATATCCTTGCGACTATTGCCTTGGACTATCGGTAGGAAATCATCTGCATATGCTTGTGCGTGCGTATGAAGGATATGGTAAAAATGTTTCAATATTTCATTTGCTATTAAATTCCAAATAACTGGACCTAAACAAGACTCTTGTGGGCATCCTCTTGCAATTTTATATAATTTGACTTTATTATTTGATGTACATTGTAGAGATCTATAGAAGTAATCGTTTAATAATAGGAATATTTTATTTGGACAATGGATGAATTTAAGGATTTGTATTGCTTCTGTCCAACGCATGAGTCAAAAGCTGCTTGAATGTCTAATGATATTATTAAATGATACTAATGATGTTATTTTGATTTCTGTTTATTTGTAATATTTTATGTAATTTCTGGAAAGCATGATCTATTGATTTATTAATAATGAAGCCAATTTGATATGGGTAAATGATTTTGTTAATATGCCAATGATATTGTAGTCTCGATAGTATTAATTTTTCTAGAAGCTTTCCTAAGCCAGGTAGCAGGCATATTGGTCAGTATGATTGAGGATTATCCTGAGGCTTGTTTTTCTTTAAGAAGAAAAACAAAAATAGTAGGAAAAGTGGCAGTTTTCCAAAAAGAACTAACAAAAGATTTTATGATATTTCTATTGGTTTTCAATATTTGCTTTAAAATTATATTGTCAGTGCCAGTGGTGCCCAACCTTTGGCCTCTCGCAAGCACATTTCCGAAACATCAGCATTTTTGTTAAACATATTTCCAATCTTATGTGTAACATCTGAAATATTAATTTTGGCAAATGGGTTTGAGATGAATGATAATATTGTTTGAACTTCATGAAAATCAGAGAAGTGAATTTTTTTTCAGTGCATTTAGGTTTTCCGAGTATTTGTCTGTTTTAATTGCCTTGTGGTTATTAATATGGCTTAATAAATTCTGAAAATCGGTGAAATTTTTCTTTCATCTGATTTGTCCACAAATTTAACTTGAAAAGCAGTTACAGTCCCAGTCAATTGAAAAAGTTTTTTTCTTTTCCCTGGAGATCTTCGTTCAGATTTTTTCAGTTTAGCTGTTATATCCGTGAGAAAATACAGATCGGATAACCAATTATTATCATCCAATTCCTTATAACTTTCGTTTCTGGATTCCAAAAACTGCTTTATTGGCGAAAGACTTTCTACAAATTGTTGAAGTACTTTTCAATCCTGCTGAGCCATCTAACATCGGAATGAAGCAATAAGATTCCATATTCGCTATCAAGTTCATCAGTCAGCAATCAATTATTTTATAACGTTTTGCAAGATATCTCTTATGACTATAAATGCTTACCATATTATAACAATTAAGAAATATAAATGAATGGTTATTTTTAAAATATTGTTCATAGTACCTAATCGGGCTGGCGAGCACATACAAAAGATCGGCAAGCACAAGGTTGGGCACCGCTAGTCTATGCCGTCAGGTCCAGGAGCTTTTTTGGGATTTAAGTGTTTAATTGTGTTTTCTATTTCCATCAGAGTTGGAGAGTTATTGCAGGATATTTGTTCAAAATTTTCTATGTTATTGAAAGCTTTTGAGTTTAAACTTGGTTGTGCTACTTCTTCATTTTGAGGAAATAATTGTGTTAATATTTGGGTGATGACATCACTTGCAGTTGCTGCTCCTGTGAATCCTGACATAGATAGTTGGGGTGGTATGAAGACTTTATTGTGGGCTATTTTGAATGCTGTACCGAAGAGTTCTGAGGTATTTGTAGAAAAGTTTCTCCAGCTTATTTTTGCTTGTCTGATATTTCTTTTATATATTGCTCTTGATTTATTAAATTCTTGTTTCCATTTTGATCTTTCTTCAGGGAGTTTGTTTGCTTTGTATATTCTTTTTAGGGCTTTGACCCTGCTTCTTTCTATTGATAATGCTTGATTCCACCAATTTAATTAAAAATTTTTGGAAGTAGGTCTTTGTTTATATGAGGTATTGCAGATGTGTATTATTGTGCTGATAAGATATTCTGTTGCTGCATTTACTTCTTCTTTTGTTTTTGAGGAATTTAGAATATTTATTAGAACTTGGGACTTAGCATTTAATTTTGTTTTAAATGAGCTGTGGCCTCCATATGAAGTTTTGAATCTTCTTTTAATAGTATAATATATTTCTGATTCTATTTGAAAAGTTATATATTGATGATCACTTAATAATTCTTGATCAAGGATTTCCAGTTTGTAATTTTTTAGGCTAGTTCAGGCCTCAAAATCTAGTATTGTAAGATCTATCCAACTTCGACCTGTAAGAGTGAGGAAGGTGGGTGGACTGTCTGGAGTATTTATAATTGCAAGTTGATTTTGTTGAATAAATTCTAATAATATTGAACCTCTGTTATTTTCAGGACTTGATCCCCATGACTATGGGCATTGAAATCTCCTGATATTAGATGATGATATTTAGATGGAAGAGGTCTTGAGCTTAATTCTTGCTCAAGTCTTGGAAGATTTAAGGATGCTGGGGCATATATAGAAGTGCAATATAGTGATAGATTTAATGTTTCCAGTTTAATAGTGGCTGTATGCAGTGTGGTATGAACTGATATAGGTGTTAATGGTCCTGAATAGATTATTAAAGATTTTGTTGAATGTGATAGCAAGGAAAAGAGGCCTGATGGCAATTCCAGTTTTCTTGAGGTTGGAACGTAAGGTTCTTGAGCTGATATTAAATGTATTTTTCTTCTTGCGCTATTTTGAGTGCATGTGGTAACGTTATTTTTGCTCCCTGAAGATTAATTTGTAGTAATCCGTAATGGTGGTGAATGGTTAAGAGGATGGTTATCTATTTCTTGAAAAGGGATAGTTTGTTGGTAAGTCTTGTTGATTCATTAATAAGAGGTTTTTGATATTATTTTCTCTACTTCTTGTTTGTATGTTGGGCAGTTGATATCATTGGCTGCATGATGGATATCATAGCTTGTGTTATTGAATTTATTATTAGCTATGCAATTAATACAAGAGGGGAAGTTTGCTTGGCATTCTGACTTTTCTCTGCACTAAAGGCAGTGTGCCCAGAAATTACAATTTCTTTTTGTATACAAAAAATCTTGACAGTTACTGCATCTTTTAACTCCAAAATATTCAGATACACGAATTGATCTCCATCCTATTGATATTTGTTTTTTATTGATTAGATAGTTGAAGGCGGGTGGTGTACATTCTATTATCCATTTGGTTGTTGTTCCGCTTATTTCTGCATTTTTAAAGAGAGGCCTGAAAGAGTGTTCTGGTAAATTGTTTATCGAATATAAAATATTTAGGATGTCCTCTTCAGTATAGTTGGATGGAACATTATGGAGATTACATTTTGGTAGTCTTAAGAGTAGAGATTTTAGTTTCTATATTTTTGATTGGACTATTAATGATGAATTCTTGCAAGGAAAAAATGTCGCCGCTATTGTTGCATTCAATAACAATACCTCCTCGTTTGAGCTTCACTATTTTCTTGATTTTGATGGGCAGTTTGTTGAGTGGAATATGTATATCTAGATTATCAAAAATTTGTTCATTAGTATTATGTCCTTTCGGGAATATTAAAAGTGCTGTTGAGAGTCTTCCTTGATTATTATTTTCAGTAGTTGATTCTGATATTGTGCTAATTATTGTCGGTATAAATTCTTGAGAACAATTTTTAGTTTTCTTAGCTGTTTGACTGCATTGTGGCTTCGGAGTTGATGAAATGTTCAATGAATGATGAGCAGAAGAAATTGCAGTATGACAGTTCCAAAATATACTATTAGAAGAATCCAAAATGACTTGGTATATACTTTCTAGTGAGTTGTTAAACTGAAGAGATCTATATATTGTCTTTTGTTTTTCAAACTGG